AAAAGGGGGGGGGGAAAGGGGGCCCAAGAACCACCGCCCCAGAATAAACATCCAGCGCCCACGGCCCATGCTGGAGGCGGCGGGGCGGTCAGCGGGAGGCGGGCTGGGAAAGGGCGCTCACACAGGAAGCACACTGCTCGTACTTGCTGTGGCGGACACTTGTCATTCTCACAGCCCCGGGACACTTGTACTGAGACGCTGGGGACGTCAGGGGAACGACACTGTGTTAGAGCGAGTCATGCAGACTGATAGAAAACGCAAGTGAACCACCCTGTAGGGCAGGTGGTAGAGGCCACGCCCCCTCGGCTGGTGGCTGTGCGGGTTTGGAGTGGCCAGGTCTCGGAAGGCCGAGCTGCAGCGGGCCAGGGCAGACCCGGGGCCGGTGCCCAGGCTCCCGGTCTGTGTGGATGAAGCGCCTGAATCAGCTCCGCAGCAAAGCCCAGGAATGTCATCTCCCCAGGGGCATGCGCACTAGTCCTGCATCCAAGCCCCTCCACTGGGAAGACATCAGAGGGCGTCTGTCCCGCCTCCCACCCACGGAGCACGTCCCACGGCTTTGTAACAGCCACCTCCGCAGCTGTGTTCTTATCACAGTCATCTGCCTTCCCTCCTGGCCCTGGCACAAGGTCAATCATCTAAATAATTCTAAAATGTTTTTAAAACGGTGATCTGTTCCAAGCATATTAAAAAAAAGGTCCTACAAATCACATAACAAATATCCACGCGCCCACCGCCAGATTCGACTTGTCTTAACCGTCTGGACTTCAGACTCCTTTTTGAGGAAACGCATACTGAGCGGCAGCTCATGCCTGTGCTGCCCTCGGCCTTTCTACCTTCCCTCTGCCCAGGCGCCGTGGCTCCAAACGGCACGGCACGCGCGCAAATGGTAACTTCACAGACACAGTGTCTTCGCTGCTAACTGACTCGCCCTCGCCACACAGGGATACACGTGGTCTGGGGTGAGCACAGGGATACATGTGGCTACATCGACCCTTCAGCTGCAAGCTGGATTCGATTATGTGAATAAAGCAGAGCCGATTCACTGAGGCTCCTGTGGCCGTCTGAGCTTCCCCTCATCGCACTCTTCGTGTCCTGTGCGTCTCCTCAGGCACAGATCGGGACACAGGTGGGGCACAGGTGGGAGCGTTTCTCTTGGACCCAAACATTCCTGTGATTTGGTTCTTTTCATTTGGGATGACGACCTACGCTGTCTGGAGTTGAATGCCTCTTGAAGAGGTGTGTACACTAACCATGCTTAAAAACTGGTGCAAATCAACGTTTGTAAACTAAGAGAAATGGGAAATGGTCGCTGAAGGGTCCTTTCCCCATGAACAGCCCCTGTGACCCACCCCCGGGCCAGCCCGCAGCACACACTCACCGAGAGACGCTCCCCTCGCCTCGGTCTGCGGGGAACTCCCCGCGGCGGGATGGGGCCTGGCGACCGAGCTCCGTTCTCTGCAGGCTGCTGAGCAGAACAGGGCAGGGCTGGGCAGGCAGAGCTTGCCAAACCAGTGCCCTGGTGGTCTGACGGCCACTTCAAGCCATGTGACTTGCTCCCAAACTCAGAGTTTCAGGCGGCCAAGACTAATGCAAGAGGAAAAAGCAAAGGCAAACTCTGATCCAGGAAGCAGGACAGGTCTTTGACCCCTGAGGTTTGCTCAGTCAACACAGAGCTTCCTTAGCACTAGGAGCAGGTTTCTAGAAGGAGAATGGGCTTTGAACCCTAGAAGGACAAGGCCAGTTGGCAGGTGCAATAGTTACCAGGGTGTCGAGGGCCCCTGGGCACCACAAGGCCAGACCCCACTGACGGGGAGGGGGCAGGGGAGTGAGCAGATGTGGGAGAGGGAACCAGGGATCGTGAGCCCATCTGTCTCACTGTCCCTTGGCAGTTCATTCCTGGTTTCCTCAGGGGACAGTTGAAAGATGCTGTGCACCAAGGTTTTATGGACCGAATGGTGTCCCCTAAAAGATACTCTGAAGTCCTAACCCACCCATGGCCTTGAGTGTGACCTTATTTACAGACAGGACCGTTGCAGATGTAACCAAGTCCAGGTAAGGCCATCGGGGTGAGCCTTCAGTCCTGTATGACGGGTGTCCTTCTAACATGAGACAGGACCCCAAGACACACACACACAGAGAATGCCATGCGACAACCAAGGCAGAGACCGGAGCGATGCGCGTATAAGCCAACGCACACCAACAACGGGACGCTCCAAGGAGGGCCTCGGCGGGCCCTCCTCGAGACGTGGAAAGTGAGCCTGCCCTGCTGACACCTTGATTTTGGACTTCCGGCCTCTGGGTGGAGGGGGTGGTGCTGGAGGCTGAGAGCTAAGGGGTACAGGGTGGTTTCTTTTCTGGTGATGACAATGTTCTAAAATTGACCGTGTGGACGGATGCACAGCTCTGTGAATGCCCTAAAAGCCACGAATTGTGCACCTTAGATGGGTGAATGATGCAACATGTGAATTATATCCCAATAGAGTTGTTTTCAAAGAACAAAAAGATCCCAGAGCTGCAGGTGCCATGCCCACTCCCCCCTCCCGGCCCCGCCCCTGCCAGGATGCAGGGGGAGGGTGGTGAAGAGGGATCCTGGTGTCCTGGGCTGCCCCTGCCTCCCTAAGGCCAGCACCCCCGCCCCGACACGTGGGACACCAGCCCTTCTGTTCTTTCTCCTTCTTTTTAGCCTGTGCTGGGCCTGCAGGCAGCCTGACTTTCCGGGGCCCCGGCCAAGGGCCTGTCGCCTGCAGGCCCCGCCCTCCCCTGCACGATGCTTCCTCATTCCGGCATCCCCACTCCCTCAGCTGCCCCTGTGACC